TCGTCATAAAACGATAAATAGTTTGTCAAATTTTTATTCATAAAAATGCAGTTTCAACTGCTTTTTATTTTATAAAATCCGTCTTCTTGCGCCACCAGAGGGCCTTTTAAACAATAGGTAGTCTGTTAGCGTTGGTCAGTAGTAGTCCTAATGCAATACGAACGTTTGTTTCTTGAAAATTTGATCACGATTTAAATACAGTATTTACTTTTAATATTACCGTTATGCCATCGAAAAGAAAACGTGTTGTATTATCATTAAGACAAATTAAAGTATTTGTTTTGATTATCCGGATTTTTCCTTATCCGGACTACCTTCATCCCCAATTAGTCCGGATAATCGAGGTTCTACTGTATATTTTTTCGTACATGATTCGTTATCCGAACCACCCCAATTGATTCGGATAAACGACGCTCTACTGTATGTTCTTTTGATATAAATGCAGAATATTTATGAAAGATATGCACACATAGTGTGTGTTGTGTGGTTATATATATATATATATATCAGTAATATATATATTACTGAATATATTATTTTCATCTTAATTTCACATGAATAAAGTACATTTTATAATTATTGTTAGCACACACATTATTTTTAATAATAGCCTAAGAAACAAAAATAAAAAAACAGTTCAGAAATAAATTAACAATTGAATTTCTATTGTTTCTAGTTAAAAAGTTGAATCCACTTTGTTACGATTTCTTATATAACAACTGTTAGGTTATTTTTAAAGTAAAATAGTAATTTTGCATTTAATGTTTTCATGCTTTACTTCAAACAGGTCATTCTTTTCCTTTTTTTAAATCTTTGTGTACAACCTGATAATAAAGTACTGTTAATATACAATTATTAAAGACAAATTCAAGAGGAAAGAATTTTAGCTCAATACCAAATAGATATCTATCTTTTATAGTCTTATCCATAAATGATGGATATGCAGCAGCAAGAATGAATAGTTTATGAAAAAACTGAATGGATCTTTTAAAATTCTTTTGTAGCTATAACAAATACAATTCTTGGCAAGACCTTTGAAAAATATTTTCAAAACAGATAAAACTGTCTGTGTACATCT